CAGATCTCGAAAAAAGGACTCAAAAATGGCGACTTTTGAGCTATACAGGAGGTCGACGATTGGGATGTGCTTGACTGAAACACTTGATGAAATGGTATCTAATGGAATTCTTAGCCCGGAGCACGCCATTCAAGTTCTCGTTCAGTTTGACAAGGTCTTTTTTTTTTTTTTTAACCTGGATCTAGGATTTTTAAGTGGATGTGCTGTTATTTTGTGGCCGTGGATACAAAATTAAATAGAAATAATGGTGTACTTTTGTTTGGAGATTGTTCAACTATGTATATGGTGTAAGTCTAGTGCGATGTGCCTATACCCACTGCCCAAGCATGCCATATTTCCTTGCATTTAGCTCCAGTTTGGCCATAGATTTTGAAGTTGAAACTTGAAAAATTGAGTCTTTGAAGTTGTGATTTTTGGAATTTGAAGTTGGGTTTGGATAAGCATTTTGTTTGGAAAAAAATTGAAGCTTTGTGAGTGGAAATCCCAAAAATCCGAATGAGCTAGTTTTTGGGAACTAAAAGAAATTGAAGTTTTGTGATTGGAAATTCCAAAAATTCAAAATATATGGTCAAACACCAGCTAATTTCCAGGATTTTAAGTCTCAGAGTGTGGGACTTCAGTGCATCCATTACTATTTTGTGTTACTGGGTTCCAAGTTGAAAGTAAAATTATAGTTTTTCAAACAGTGGATCAACTATCTACCCTTGCATTTAGTGGCAATCTATTTCTGTAAGCGTATACTGGCCTTGATATGCATGTATATATGTGTGCATATCAATACAAATAATATAGTTCTAAAGTCGTGAATAATAATTAAAACTTCTTTTTATTGTTGTTTTTTTTTTTTTTGGGCTTTACGCCATACTTATCGCTTATGTTGTTGCATTGCAGTCAATGACTGAAGCTTTGGAGACTCAAGTAAAGAGCAAGGTTACTATTAAGGTACTTATAATTTGTTTTTTCTTATGTTCTGTTTGTCTGTCAGTTTATATCCATATTATGAGCTCACATCGATAATATTCATTGGATCAGTTTCATGATTTGCATAATTAAGAATCATGGACTCCTTTTTGGCTTTCTGTGTCTTTTTCATAAATTGGAAAACTTATTAAATGATCTAATTTACTAGTAGCATGGTTGAATATGTCTCTGTTAGTTTTATTTAAAAGATTAGAAGATGAAGAAGCCGATTGAATCATTCATGTGTCTGTTTACATCCGTCAGATGAGGTGACATCACAAGATTTTCATTTGTCCAGCCTAATGAGTCGCATCATTATAAGTTATTTTGATGATTTTTTGACTTTCTGGCTCCTTCTGCAGATTTTCAAATTAATTACCACTATTAGTTATGTTCCCAAAAAAAAAAAGTAGTAGTGACTGAATTGTTTCTATTGGCTTTATTTAAAAGACTAGAAGTATTAGCGGCTGGACTGTTTCTATTGACTTTATTTAAAAGAATAGAAGATGAAGGACCTGATGAATTCATTATGTATATTTATGCTTGTGTTTTCCTAGAACTGGGATAATTGTCACTCCACACTTCGCACCTTAAAGAGCAAGAAAAACCAATAATTATGGTTTTCTTAAGAAGTATAGAACTAATATTTATCTTATGGAGACTTTACCTTCTCCAATTTTTTTTTTTTTTTTTTATCTTTTGGAATTAGCTTGTATCTTTGATTGAATATAGCTTTGAGGCTTAAAATGGCACTTCCATCAACAGAGAGAGATACACAGGTGTTGTCAATAAGTATATCACTTCATTAGATAATCCATATTGTCATGTTAATGTCGGAGTGGGTGGGTGGGGGGTGGGGATGTAATTGTCCTAAACACTTGGTCTGGACTCAAAATAAGATATAGAAGTTGGGACGTTATCTACCAATGAGCAACATTTCTCTAAACTTATGTTGGTACGGGTATTAGCTTGTTTTCTGTTAAGATATCTTTGGCATCTCAAATAGTTTCACGCCATATAAATGTTGTGTCTCATTATTTGAAACTTTAGGATATCAGCTGGTTCCCTCATTCTTAACACCATCAATGAGTTTGAATAATGTTGTTCTAGAACAAACCAAAAGCATAGATAAGGCAGACCTTTTTTTCCCTTTGATTACTGAGAAATCCCTGAGGGTCAGTTGGTGCACGGTGTGGAATTTCATGGATAATGGATGTCCCAATATTACCTTTTGTTATCCCAAAAATGCTGCTTTTCTTATCACTGTCAGTAGATAAGCAAGCGTTATTTTTTGCATATAGTGATGAGAAATGATGTCTGTGGAAAGAATGATCTTTAGCCTGTTACTTAGAAATGCTACAGAAGTATTGTGACAGAGGAAAACATCTCTTAAAATTTTAAGCTTGTCTCATTCTAAGATCGACAGTATCTTAGCGAAATTACTCTGGTCTTCCAAACCAATCTCCCAGAAAAAACAGAGGGGAAAAGGTGTTTTGGTCTCAAAATTGTCAACTTAGAACCAACTTTTGATGGTCTATCCTGCTGGATTTGTGTGTTGTGTTGATATAGAGCATATTACATTTGAGATATAGCAGTCATTCTCAGATCTTTTCTTTTTCATTTAAATTATAATAAATCAGACACATATGTTTAATGCTTCCTTTGTCTAATAACATTTAGAAGGGACCTCATAAGTACTGCAGTTGCAAAACTTGAGGTATTCTGCTTGAATCATGCACATTCCAATCCATCTGAGATCTGACTGAAGCTTATCATTCTCCTTTAGGAAAAATGAAAAGATTTGAAGAGGATTAATCACTATTTTTATCCCCGTCTTACATGATATGACTAACGTCATAAAAATCTAGGAGATGAGTTTAGTTATCTTCATAAAGGAGGAGTTCTGTTGCCAAGTGATTGCAATCAGACCGAGGAAGCTGATTTTGTTGATTTGCTTGTTCTCTGCAATAGACATCTATAACACAACGGTAGGTGGTATACCCAAATTATGTCTCCTGACAATCAGGAGTCATGAAAATCCAACTAATGTTTTTTTTTTGGGGAATGGGATGGAGGTGGAAGGTATCTTAAGTAGTTAAATGAGCAGCAGTCTCTACGTTGATGTCCTTGAAGGCAGTATTGCTCAGTAGCTGAGCTTGAATTAGAAGAAACATTGTTGTAAATATTAACGGCAACTTAGGAGTGCTTTCCTATGAGAAAAGTAAAATATATAAACAAGTTGCTCCACTAAAATACAACAATCTTTCAAGATCTGGTACTTTACTCGAAATAAAGTAATTTTACTAGCTAATACTTCTTGATGACAAGAAAGACATGACATCAAGATTTGAAGTTGTTGTCGACAAGACGACAAGTAAATTTTAAATCACAAAGTTGTCAAGTTGGAGATCATAGTACAATTTGTTATTTAAAATTTACTTGTCGACAATAACTTCAAATCTTGCTGTCATGTCTTTCTAATCATCAAGAAGTATTAGCTAGTAAAATTACTTTATTTCGAGACAGCAACTTCAAATCTTACTTGTCGACAACAACTCCTGAAGCGTAAGAGACAACCACCTTTCAGATTGTTGTATGAAGTAAAGTACATTGATATGTAGACTCCTTTGATAGCTACTGTTTGCTCTTAATCTCAACTCCTGTACTCATTCCGCTCCCTTGTTTATTCTATTATCTTTACACAACATGTCTCTCCACTTACCATGAGGCCATACAAGTTTGAGTATTGTGCAACTTGAAAAGAATTGATAGAAGTACGCACAACCTGTCAAAAAGCGAGTGCCTTTCACCAGAGTCAAGTATTTGGCACATGGCCATCCATTTCGTGCTAATTTTGTCTTTAGCTTATAGCTTAGTATGTGGTTTTTGGGCCAATTTACGCCCCTGGACTATATTCCACCTGGTACATACAACTCCTTTTTTTGATAATGAGGTACATACAACTCCTATTAATACAGGTACCAGGTACTGCCTATAAGGCTTAGACAGATAGGATTAAATCACTTGACTTACCTCAATTGGGATTTGAATCGTGGTCTTCCATGGTCTTCATTCCAACTTTATTAACAGTTGACCTCCAGGTCTCACTTTTTAGTGCATTGGACCCATATATTATCAAGTACATTATGTTAGATGTTAAAATATGCACGACTATTTCTGCAAGTGGGATAGGTATTCAAGAGGGTGCTCAATTTTCATTAGTTGTGAATGAGATCTTATGTTCTTGCTTTCTGTAAAACCTTGAAATTGAGCATAGGGCTTCTATCAATAGGTCCTCCTTTTGTCATCTCTTTGATTTTGCTATACTATCAATGGTCAAACTTATTTGTGAAGAATTCTATCCTCATGCTAGCAATTGTCTGTTGGGCATCTCAATCCTTTTTATTTGTTTTTGTCCGTCCTCCTAAAACTACTACTGAATTTTGGCTGTTCACTATTATGAAATTGCTTCAGTTATATTCTTCTCCTAATTTGAGCAACTATGGTTGCAGGGACATCTTCACACCTACAGGTTCTGTGACAATGTGTGGACCTTTATCTTACAAGATGCTGTGTTCAAGAGCGAGGAATGCCAGGAGACTGTTAACCGCGTTAAGATTGTGGCATGTGACTCAAAGCTGCTCACCCAGTGAGAAGACGGCGGATTGAGAGAATTTTCTGTCTGTTACTTATTTGCATTTCTATAATTAATGTAGAAATCGACATATTATAAGTCTGAGAGAAGAGGGTGGAGTGTAGGTGTGGTTATATCCATTCTGGGTATATTTCCAGGACCGTTCAACACCTATATTTTGTACAAACCAGCAAACATGAATAGCTATCTGTAGTCGAACTGTTATGTTTATGACGCCAATGTATTTTATTATGGACCTTTTGTACAATGTTGAACTTTAGTATTTCTGACATTTATATAAGCTCAAGAATTTAATTTCTTTTCTGATGAAGTAAGTAGTTTCATTGATGGCATCAAGTAGATACAAAAAGTTACAGAAGAAGTACAACAAAAAGAAAAAAAACCGAGTGAATTTCGATACATGAGAGGCTATTCTAAGACCAGGGAGCTAACAAATCTGAATAGCTTAGCATGTAAATGAATACACACTCAACAGCCGAAAAGCTCCATGTATGGCAAAAAGGAAAGTTGTTTGGACTCACAAGTCTGCATGGACATCATATGCATCATCGCCAAAGCTTTTCAATGTCACTGTACTCGCCGGTTTTTGGCCAGAAAGCCTGGAAAGTATCAGCCTTGCAATATTTTCAGCAGCAACAGCACTTGTTTCCATGGTGCTAGCTGCATTCTCAAAAGCATTCACATAGTACAAGTGCTGACCATCCAAGATAAACGGTGCAAATACCTCAGGAGCATGATAATGCGGGTATGCACCCCAGTCTATCTTGATTGTCTCGTTTCTCACACTGAAAATCTGATCTAATAAAGCATCGTCAAGAGGTTTACGCGAGAACACCTTGTAGGACATATCATTCTCCTTATGTTGCTTAAGAACTGAAATACTCGAAAAAGGAACATCAGGAGTCTCAACAGTGCCCACCAATTGTGGAACTTCTGATACCGAACCTAAACCAAAATAAGCCGGATTCAATAGACCTCTGATGAATGTAGTATATGTGTGCTGTAATTTCCTCTCCGGGATTGAAATTCCGGGAAGAAAGTGAATGTTCACCTCATCCAAAGGTGTAGCCACAACTGTTATTCCACATTGATAACTCTTTCCCTTTGTGGTATTGAGTTGATAGTTTTGCTCTATGAATGAAACTGATTCTACTTCTTCATTAAGATGCAATTTGACATCTGAATGACTGATCAAACCAGCCGCCATTTGCCGATTTCCGCCTTCAACTGACCATACACCTGAATCAGATCCAGCTAACGAAACAGCTCCGGCAAGTCCACTGATGCTGATACTTTGCCCGTAATTGATTCTGGTAATAACCGTGACTAGTTCTTCAGTGATCCGAGGAGAAAAACGAAAATCGAGTAACTCCTCCTGTAGTGTTCGTCTAGTCAAATTGTAAAGCCCAGACCATTTAAGCATCTCTTCCACAGTTTCGAACACTGGCCGTGACTCAAAATCTTCATAATACTTCAAAAAACTGTTCACGGTGTTATCGACAAAATTATTCATGCGAAACAGAGAGAACCCGTAGCGAAAGAAAATTAACACCGAATTAGCGAAGGACACAACGCGTTGGATAATAGGGAGATTCGAATTGAAACTTAGGGTTTTGAAAACGAATTCACGTCCGTTCCAAATACCGAAACCCGAATCAGATTCAGAAGGAGGAGGTCCTCGGACAGAGAGATTTAGATACTTAGTGTAATTCAAAGTATGGTAGTTCTTCGGATGAAGAATGGATGCACCAGCCTCGAATGTCTCGCCGGAAAGAGTCACCGTCGCCGTGCGTCCTCCGACGACAGCATGCCTCTCGAAGATTCTGATTTCGCCGATTCCGGAGCTGGAATAGGTCCGGAGGAAATGGGCCACTGAGGACCCGCCGATTCCACTGCCGATTATGCAGACAGTCGGAGATGATGAATCCAAGTCAACGGCGACAGTTGTGGCCGTGGAGATGAGTATAAGTGACAAAACCAGGTAGAGATTCTTCATGCTTGCTTTGTATTTGAGCTTTTTCCTTGCTTGATAGTAACAATGGAGTCTCTTATATCAGGCAGAAGTTGAAGGAGACTGTTGAGAGAGAAATAGATTTTGTTGAGGGTTAGAATGAATGAGAAGAAGGATCAAAGTCAACGCCAATTAAGTGATAACGTTAATAAAAAAAAAATGGATTTGAATTATATTTAGCATAATACATCATACTAATAGTGAGTTTACTTTATGTGACATTTACGATCTAAACTGAATGTGCATAACTAAATACACGTGTTCTACATTGCATAATACATGTAAGCTACATGTGTATTTGTTTAACTTTATTCACGTTTCAGAATATATTTATGCATACCCAAAATTGAAAGAGTTAAGTTAAAAGACTTGTTTATGTATTATGTCGTCTATTTATTTAACAATTGCTTTGGCCATAAAAAATGTTCATTTTTAAAAAGTACTAACTATTAATTGTTGAACATGTCGCGTCATATCGATCACCAAAGCAAATAGAAACAAGCTCAATGCTAACCCCTAGTGCACCCCATCTCAACTGAAAAACGCTTCAAGTCTCCTTCCATTGTTCTTACTTAAATCTTGGCTCCATTATCATCCTACCCTAATGTAAGTCATCGGTACACCTTTAGGTTGTAAACATCACTAAAGGAGTTCTCTCAGACTTTGTCGTAGGCCTTTTCAAGGTCAATAAACATCACATGCAAATTCCTTTTTCTCTCCCTATATTTCTCCATGGTTCTCCTCACAAGATGAATGACTTCAGTAATTGAATGCATGACATGAATTTAAACTAATTCTCGAAAATTGACGCATCCCTCCTCACAATCATCCCCACAACCCTCTCCCAAACTTTCAAGGTATGTTCAGTAACTTAATATCCCTATAATTATTGCAGGTCTGTATATTACCTTTATTCTTGTACAACAAAATCATTGTGCTCCACTTCTAATTGCCAGACATGTTAGCCATCTTGAAAATGACACTAATCAACCTAGTCAGCTATTTTAGACCCGCCTTACATGTTCTTTTTAAAAATTCGATTATAATTTCATTTGATCTGATCGCTCTATCCTGGTACACATATCATCCTTAACCTCCTCAACCTCTAAAATCCTACAATATCAAAATTTCGCTGACTCTCTGAGTTATCTAAATCACCCAACACCATGATCTTATCCCTTTCTTTGTTCAAGAGTCTATAAAAGTATATTTGATTTTCGTTTAGTGTGTGTGCCTCTTGTTTATTGTCCTCATATTTGATGCAATTTACTTGGTCTAGGTGTAGAAACTTCCTCTCTCCCGCCTTGATAAACTTGTAAAACTTCTTATCGCCACCTTTATTCCCTAGCTCGACATACAAACATCAGAAAGCTATCGCTTTTACCCCATGATTGCTAACTCGTATTTTTTCTGTCGTCTTATATCTTACCATGTTCGTCCGCTTCTCTTCCTCCTCTTTGGTTTCCACAAATTAGCATAAGTAGCCTCCTTCGCTTACACTGTCTCACACATCTCTATTCCACCACCAATCTTCCCCGATGACCACACAATTTGCCCCTCGAAACCCCTAATACCTCATATTTAAACTTTTTATGTCTAGCAAGTGAAACTTGAACTTTTATGATTCAAATTTGCTTATGCATGATTTGAATTTGAGAAATTTATATATTATCCATTAGACTTTTTATTCAATAATACTTGTCATTACAAAAAAAATAATACAATTTTTCCCTTGAATCTTAAAAATCACATTTGAAAGTGAAATTTGAACATTTTTATGAAAGAATATAAGTACATGACATTAATCTTAAAATTTTGTCGACAACAAATAAAAATAAAAACAAAAGCAAACAATAATTTGGTATGATAATGAGGTAAAAGTGAACATGCTAGATAGTAATGAGACTAATTTGGATTTTCCAAATTTTATATTCAATTGGTAAGTTATTTAAAAAATACTTTCATAAGTTTATATAAACTAGTTAATATATTCTCAAGAAAAGAATGCTTATTAGTTGAGATACTCTAACTCCAATAATACTAAAAACCAATCAAACAAATTAATACTCTATGATTTTCTAGACTTTTCGTGTGTTTTAACTATTGTTCGATAACTTGCCGTCAGCTGGTAACTATGACTTTTAATTTTGGGTGTGCACAAGTAGGCACTTTAACTTGTATAAAATTAAACAAATGGACACATTCGTCCTACACGACATCATACGTGGTAATTTTGTATCCTACGTGGCATCCTACATGTATTATGTCATCTAGGACACATGTGTTGACTTGTTTAATTCTAGACAAGTTTAAGTGTTTACTTGTGCACATTTAAAGTTGGAGGGCATAGTTGTCCGTTGAAACCAAGTTAAGGGTTATCCCTAAAATAAAAGTAAGTTGAGCATATAGATAATAATTGGTTCAATTTTGTTAGCATAAAAATCAATATCTTCTTCAGATAGGCAACTCATCAACACTATCTGGAAATCATAAATATTCGAACCAATTCAACACTAAATTAATATGATATTTAAATTTTAAACAACTTTATGTTAAAACTATATTTATTTTGCTCCAAATAGTTTATTTTATTAATTATCATCTAGTTTAAGCAAAATCTATGGACTATTTACACATGAAAAATAAAAGAAGTCATATTTTTAATTCCGAACCTCGTTTGAACTCTTCAAAACCTACGTTTGTCCCTCCGAACCAATACACACCATTAAGTATGTCGTCACGGATGCCCACATAAAATTTCAGTCAAAAAATCCACGGACGCACATATCTCACATATAACATATGAAAAATGTAAGAATTTCTATTTTTCGGTTCGGGCCTTGTTTGAAATTGAAAATACATATGTTTGTCCCTTTAAACCAGCGCACGCTATTAAGAAGGTCGTCACGGACGTCCAACAAAAATTTTGACCAAACAATTATCGGGTGCATATATCACACAAAATTCATGGACTATAACACATGAAAAATGACAACAATCATATTTTCGATCCAGACCTCGTTTTAACTTGTTTGTCGTCACGAACGCCCACAAATTTTTTTGATCAAACAATCATCGGACGCACATATCACACAAAATACATGGACTATAACACGTGAAAAAAAAATTCACTATTTTCCGTTTTGGACCTTGTTTGAGCTTGAAAAACCCTACATTTTCCCCTTCAAACCAACACCCGTCATTAAGTATGTCATCACAGTCTCCCACAAAAAATCACTAGGTGCACATATCACACAAAATTCATGGACTATATAACACATGATAAACGAAAAAATCGCTATTTCCTATTCTGGGACTCATTTGAACTGGAAAAAATCTATGTTTTTTTGCCTCCGAACCAACATGCACCATAAGTATGTCGTCATGGACGCCCACGAGAAATTTCAGCCAAGAAATCATCGGGGACACATATAACACAAATTCATGGATTATAGCACACGAAAATGTAAAAATTCATATTTTCTGATTCAAGCCTCATTTGAACTTGAAAATACCTACATTTGCCCTTTCGAACCAACACACACCATTTAATAGGTCATCACGAACGCCCACAAATTTTTTTGATCAAATAACCGTTGGACACACAAATCTTGGACTGTAACACTTAAAAAATCACTATTTTCCGTTCTGGATCTTGTTTGGACTTGAAAAGGCCTACCTTTGCCCCTCCGAACCAACATGTGTCATTTAATAGCTCGTCACGGAAGCCCAAAAAAGTTCGGCCAAAAAACAACGAACACACATATCACACAAAGTTCATGGGCTATAACACACGAAAATTGGAAAAATTCATATTCCTGGTTTGGGCATTGTTTGAACTTGAAAAAAACTACGTTTGCCCCTCTAAACCAACACACGCCATTAAGTAGGTCTTCACGGATGCTCACAAAATATTTTGGCCAAAAATTCGTCGAGCGCACATATCACACAAAATTCATGGACTATAACAAACGAAAAATGTAAAATTCACTATTTTTCGTTTCGAACCTCATTTGAACCCGAGAAAACCTATGTTTTCCCATCTGAACCAACACGCGCCCTAAGTATGTCCTCACAAATGCCCACAATAAATTTCGATCAAAAAATCGTCAGGCGCACATATCCGACAAAATTCATGGACTATAACACACGAAAAAATGAAAAAAAATCTATTTCACGGCCCTAGCCTAGTTTGAACTTGATAAAACCTATGTTTGCCCCTCCGAACCAACGCATGATATTTAATAGGTCTTCACGGATGACCACAAAAAATTTCGACCAAAAAACCACCGATCGCACATATCATAAAAAATTAAGGGACTATAGCACATGAAAAATGGAAAAGTTCTTATTTCCCGTTTCGGGCCTCGTTTGAACTCTAAAAAACCTACATTTGCGCGTCTAAACCAAACCGCACCATTTAGTCAGTCATCACACTCCCACAAAATTTTGGCAAAAAACTCGCCGGACGCACATATCACATAAAATTATAGACTAACACACAAAAAATGAAAAAATTCCTATTTACCAATTTGGGTCTCGTTTAAACTTGAAAATCCTATGTTTGTCCTCCGAACCAACGCACATGTGGAATATAATTAAAAGGAATAAAGTAAATCCTAATAAAGACAAATGACAGTCCAAGAGAAGAACTGTGGCAGTTTATGACAAGAATTAGTTAGTAAATAATATTTAATTTGAATTTAAAAAAAATCAAATATCTATATTTTTTTATGGTAAATTGGGAAGTTACGTACTGCTATTCTTATTTTTTAATTCCTACTTTATTTTTTACAAAATAGGCACGTGCAATTACTTTAGGACTCAACTTCCCTCAAATGATAAAAAAAATCATGGTTTACATATTTTCATCTATATAATTATTACTGTATTAGGAAAAAAAATATACAAAAAAAATAATTTTTGGACTTTTTTTAAAGCTATTTTTATATACTAATTAAAGAGTCCTAAACCTAAAAGAGTGTTATTCTAAAAGAGTCCTAAACC